TAAGGAGTTGTTAATCCTTTGTTAACTTCTAGGTTGCTTCATGTTTATCTTATCTTCTGCATTTGTTTTTTTACTTGCGTGTAGGATAAAAAGAAGCTCCACTATCTATCCATATCTGGTTTGTTAGTTAATCATTGTGATGACACTGACACATCCACTTGACTCCACTTGACTGACGTGACACCTAATTGTAGATGCAGAGGGATGACGTCACAATTTCACATAAAGTGTCACGAGTGTGGGTGAATTGCGTGTAAATGTGAGTTGAATGAGTGTAAAAATGTACAATTGTGTACAAAAGCTGTGTAAATGTGTGTGAATGGATGTTGATTATGTATTACAGTGTATGATTGGATGTGATTATGTATGGTGAGCGTGCATTAATCACGTGACGTTTTTAGGAAAAGGGGTTTGAGGGGTATTTTAAGATATCACCTATATTTATTTTTTTACCTGAATTTAAAAAATTTAACAATTTTTCTTGTAACTAAAAATACACGAGTTGTTTGGAGGGAGAGATATGGGTTTAGTTTTGAATATCAAAACGCATCACTAAGGGGGAGGGGAAAGGTTCAATTTTTTTAACACTAGATATACCAGCCGTTTGTATATACCTATTTCTACCAATACCAGTCAAAATGACTGGTCTCTAACAAAACAAATTCATTGTGTTTTTAAGTTGAACAAAACTAATTACAGCTGTAAATAAACTTATAGATATTATCAAATAACAAAATATATTAATTTTTAATAGTTTTTACAGTACTTTAGCACAATACTCAATAAAAGTGTCCGGCAGCACCTACTTGTTTGCGCGTAAATTACGGCTACCGACGTGTTTTTAGATTTTAATTTCAATGCCATATGAATAATTATAAAAATAATATCGGTTATTGCATTTATAACCTTCATGATATATGTTTCAAGAATTTTCATTACTACAAATTCGCTTACAGGGGTTGATTCTTCGTCTTTTGCTAAATACGGGCAACCATTTACCATTATTTTGTTTCTACATCAGATGTTAGACAGAATTTTATGTAAATTTATAGTTTCTTTGGCCATTACTGGCTAAATATGCTTTTGGCCTTTGTTGGAAAATTTTTATTCAAACAAAGTGATATGAGCTCCCGGTTTGGAGCAATTTTGCTATTTGTTCCAAAAGCGGGCTTTTTTTTTCTATAATTTGGCCTGAGTATGTGTCTGAAAGCTCTTTGAACTTCTAATATACCTGCAAAACCTATTTCACTTTACTACAAGTCTTGTACAAAAGTTTCGTCCAACCAATTTTAGTTTCCTGATTTGGTGCATTACTTCCAAATTCGTCTTCAGAATTGGAAAGAAAGTGGCTCGCATCGTCTCATACGTTTGTTTGTGATATCTATCCATTTACTAACGTACTTGATCCATCTGTATTGTCTTTATCACGAAATTTTCCCATTTCTACAGTCGATAATAGCACTGTCTTGTGGATTGATTTGTTTATCTAAAATTCACCCTCACTATCATATATTTCAAATCCTAGGTCCAAACATTTCAGAGATCCGCTGATTTTATTTTTCAAACAAGCTAAAGAAACATTGTTTCCATTCTTTTTTCGAAGACTGACAGTCGCTATAAAAAAATAAGTCGAAACCATGGCAGTTTTTTCGTTTATAGTTTTTTTACTCAGAATATATTTTTGAAAATTTCTGTATCCACGCGAACGTTACTTACTTGTATCAGTGTACAAAAAGAATAAATAATTATACTGGAAAATCACTTGAATAAAATTTTATTTAGTGTGTTGAACGAAGCTCGAAACAATTGATTTGTTGGTAAAAATCTAGTAATACTTCAGTAATCTGCATTTTTACAATGTAAAAAAGAATAAAGAATAAACTAGTTGGTTTGGTATTTAGCCTTGAGGCAAATTCATGAACTTCCCGATATGTGTAAAAAATCGACTTAATCAAAAAAAAGTGTAAATAATATACTTCATCAATCCTACTTTAAAAAAAAAACGATAATAATTTTAGCAAGTTGACGAATTTTTAAAATTAAACTACTTGTTGTAAGGCCGTAATATTACAGTAAGTTCTATAAGACCATGATGTATATCGCCAAAAAAAGTTCCATGAAAAAAGGCTTAAATTTTTTTTAACAGTTAAACAAGAAAACGGCTCGGTAGATTTTCACCTAAAATTAATCAGTATCATTCCCAACCAATATCTTTCGAACAGTTTTGATTTTTTAAAATCGGTTCGGTAGAATGAGCTTAAATGTGGACGAAAATTTAACACTATTTTTCAATAGTTAATTACAAGAAAACCGCTCGGTAGATTTTCATCTAAAATTAATCAGTATCATTCCCAACCAACCAATATCTCGAACAGTTTTTGATTTTTTAAAATCGGTTCGGTAGGATGAGCTTAAATGTGGACGAAAAGTTCAACACTTTTTTTCAAATTACAAAGAAACGGCTTGGCAGATCGTTGCACAAAACTGACAAACGATAGTCCTCACCGAAATACATCAAATGGCTTTTAAATTTCTAAAATCGGTTCAGGCGTTTTTGAGAAAACGTCGAACAAAAGTCTAATTTTGACAAATGCCAAAAAGACCATACTGATTTTTGCAAACTTTGACGAATTTTAAAGCTGACCAGTTGTCGTAGGGCCGTAATTTTTAGTATGATCTAGAAGACTATGGTATCTATCGTCAAAAAAATAATCATAAAAATCGTCGAAATTTTTTTTTTAAAAACTTTATTACAAGAAAACGGCCCGGCCGATCTCTACCAAAAACTAATCAGCACGATTCCCAACCAATATTTCGAACGGTTTTTGAATTTTCAAAATCGATTCATAACTGCGGGCTAAAACGTGGACGAAAGAGTTTTCACTTCTCTGCTATTTACGAAGAAACGGTTTGGCCGATCGTCGCACAAAACTGACAAACAATAGTCCTCATCGAGATACATCGAATGGCTTTTAAATTTTGAAATCGGTCCAGCCGTTTGAGAGGAAGGGAAAACGGCGATTTACGGCAAAAAATCTGTTGGTGCACACGCACACACACAACACACACACACACACACACACACCACACACACACACACACATACTTTTTCAAATTTGTTTCATTCGATTCAGAATGGCTTGAAACGTCGAGAGAAAACATAAAATTAGCGAATCGGATTTTTTGATGAAAACATAAACTTCTCCTTCGGGAAGTAATAA